CAGCATGAGGGGGTCGTCTCCTGTCTTATGCTCTGCTCGGAGCTGCTGCCTGCACTGCTCGCCGGTCCGTCAATGCAGTCCGTGCCGCTGCCACCGATAATTCACTTTAGAAGGATAATGAACCATTTAATGACCTGTGTGTTGATTTATCAGACACTCTGGAGAGGGCAATTTAAAAATATAACGCCATAAGTCACTGAGGCCGACATGTCTTGCTAAGCCTTTCATGGCCTCCACGGCCTCCCATTGTCCGAGCGTTAATCAGCGTGTGTTTAGGGGACACGGAGCCGTGGCCCACTTCTCATACAGGGAAGCGGTCAGTTTTCACCCCCTGCTCAGACTCTCCTCTCCTTTCCACGGTGACATATTAAGCCCTGGCTGAGTGAGAGAGGGATATTTCTAGCTTCTCCTCAGAGCACTCATCAATGGACTGCTCATCATTAGGATGAAAGATCTGACACAGCATGCAGCTGCACTGGGAGATTTCATATGCTCCTCAGGGCTAAGCTTACTAAATTGCCTCTGCCTGTTGTGCTTGTGGAATAAATACAGCGTACAGACATATTTTTCAAATCCTAAAAGATGGTTCTGCACATAGAATTTTGTCTGGACCAAAACAGGAACATGTTGCATTTACATACACATTTATGTTTTTCTCAGATGGTTTATTACTACAAAAGTGTGTGTGTTGAGATTATTTTGGAGTACTGAGACTGAACCTCCAATGCAACTAGACACACATACAGCAACTACTGCTGTGCAGTGCAAATTTTGACTAGAAGGGTAAAATTATGGTTATTTTTGTCAGTTGTGGCTCATTAGATCTAGCACTCTGCATTCTTTAAATCAGAGATAGATAAAGTAGTGTGTGTGTGTACTTGTTTGAACTATACTTGTGAGGATTAATGTCCTCACTTGTATTGTGAAATACTTTGACAACCCACTAGTGAGGACAGGTTACTGGTCCTAACTAGTTAAAAAGGCTTATAAATCATCCAAAATATGTTTTTATTTAAATCTAGTGTTCTGTACCTTTCTGTAAAGGGTAAGTTTAGGGGTAGGGGTTGGGTTATGTAATAGAAAATATCATTAACCTGATAGAAAATCAATGGACGTCTATGCAATGTCCTTGATAAGATACATTGTGTGTGTGTGTGTGGTTCAGGTATACTCTACAACTACGTTATGGCGAAAAAATGTCCCCACAAAGATGGGAATATCCGAAATCCTTGTCCTTGTGGGGACATTTTTGTTCGCAAAAAAAGAAAAGAAAAGAAAAAAAATGCAAATTAGGTGTGTTTCCATCAAGTTAAGTGGATGAAAAAACAAAGACACCATCAGCGGAAATAGTTAGTTAGTCACGTGGGTTTAATGTTCGCCAAGTTCGGCAAATGCGTTTCCATCTCCCAATATTTGCATGAACTCTTTTTCAAAAACCACCTCGAGATTGAATGCTCTTCTATTTCCCTAATGGATTTACAAGCAACTTTGAAAATTACATTTGTTGTTGGTCCAGAGTATGTGTGACATCCTGTGGATTATAAGCAAATCCATTTCTGACCAGTTTATTCTGATGGGACCTCATAACCGACCCGCAAACCTGAAAATAAATCCTTCTGAAATACTTAATCATCGCGCACCCTGATTATTAAAAAACAATGACACAGCATTGCCTGTGCACTGATGTCCCCACAAAGATGGCAATATCCAAAATCCTTGTCACTGTGGGGACATTTTTGTTTGCAAAAAAAGACAAGAAAAAAACTAACAAAAGTGAATTAGTTGCATTTCCATCAAGTTGTTCAAGCGGATGACAGTGGTACTCTAATATAATGATTTGCTGCTCAACAAATATTCCTTATTATCAGTATTCAAAGCGCTGCTAACTACTTTTCATTCTGCTCCAAAATATCTATTTAATAGTAAATGTGCCTACACAAATACATTTATAATATAAAGGATTTATGCATTTTACATTTCTAAAGCTGTGCATGTTTAGATGCTGTCAATCTGGCCATGTTTGTGTATGTTTCAGCATATATCAAAATGCATAAACATTTATTTTTAACCACTATGTACCAATACCTATGAATACTAATGAGATCAGACTGTTTTAAGTGATGTGGCACTATTCTGTCTGTATTTACCTTCTATTTTATTCTTATTTCATATCTCTATATGTAATATGTAATATTATCAGAGAAACAAAACAGAAACTTTAACAGACTTCATACTGGCCACAGCCACTAAGACGTCTGGCTTGATACTCTGATCTCTATGATAAGGAATGATCTCTATGGTTAAAACACTCCCTAATTTGTGCTTTTGGCATGTGCCAAAAGATCTAATGGCACCAGCATATTTGAAAACCTGACAGAGCTGTTTTTTTCCTAAAGAGCAAGATAGTTCGTCCTTTGTGCGTTGGCAGTGTGGCAGGCTGTATAAATAACAGCACAAACAGAACACAGCAGAGACCATGACCACATGGATTATTTAGAAATGGAAGAAAGCTGCCACCATTTTCAGTCATATCTATAACAGTACAAGAGCTACTAAAATCAGGTCCTATTCCACTGTATTCAGTTGAACAGGCTTGAGTCATATCCTCAGGAGAAGGTTTATATTTGTCTGCTTGTCTGTATCAAAGTGCCATACAGCACACAGTATACTGTTCCTAAGACCATATTTAACAGATAAAAGCTAGTGTGTGTGCTGAGAACGTAAGAAGTGTTTCTACTAACTCATCCGCTGACCTGTGTGCCATCTGACTGACCTCTCCACCGGTGTTCTGCTTCTGAACATCATAAATCAGCATGAGGGGGTCGTCTCCTGTCTTATGCTCTGCTCGGAGCTGCTGCCTGCACTGCTCGCCGGTCCGTCAATGCAGTCCGTGCCGCTGCCACCGATAATTCACTTTAGAAGGATAATGAACCATTTAATGACCTGTGTGTTGATTTATCAGACACTCTGGAGAGGGCAATTTAAAAATATAACGCCATAAGTCACTGAGGCCGACATGTCTTGCTAAGCCTTTCATGGCCTCCACGGCCTCCCATTGTCCGAGCGTTAATCAGCGTGTGTTTAGGGGACACGGAGCCGTGGCCCACTTCTCATACAGGGAAGCGGTCAGTTTTCACCCCCTGCTCAGACTCTCCTCTCCTTTCCACGGTGACATATTAAGCCCTGGCTGAGTGAGAGAGGGATATTTCTAGCTTCTCCTCAGAGCACTCATCAATGGACTGCTCATCATTAGGATGAAAGATCTGACACAGCATGCAGCTGCACTGGGAGATTTCATATGCTCCTCAGGGCTAAGCTTACTAAATTGCCTCTGCCTGTTGTGCTTGTGGAATAAATACAGCGTACAGACATATTTTTCAAATCCTAAAAGATGGTTCTGCACATAGAATTTTGTCTGGACCAAAACAGGAACATGTTGCATTTACATACACATTTATGTTTTTCTCAGATGGTTTATTACTACAAAAGTGTGTGTGTTGAGATTATTTTGGAGTACTGAGACTGAACCTCCAATGCAACTAGACACACATACAGCAACTACTGCTGTGCAGTGCAAATTTTGACTAGAAGGGTAAAATTATGGTTATTTTTGTCAGTTGTGGCTCATTAGATCTAGCACTCTGCATTCTTTAAATCAGAGATAGATAAAGTAGTGTGTGTGTGTACTTGTTTGAACTATACTTGTGAGGATTAATGTCCTCACTTGTATTGTGAAATACTTTGACAACCCACTAGTGAGGACAGGTTACTGGTCCTAACTAGTTAAAAAGGCTTATAAATCATCCAAAATATGTTTTTATTTAAATCTAGTGTTCTGTACCTTTCTGTAAAGGGTAAGTTTAGGGGTAGGGGTTGGGTTATGTAATAGAAAATATCATTAACCTGATAGAAAATCAATGGACGTCTATGCAATGTCCTTGATAAGATACATTGTGTGTGTGTGTGTGGTTCAGGTATACTCTACAACTACGTTATGGCGAAAAAATGTCCCCACAAAGATGGGAATATCCGAAATCCTTGTCCTTGTGGGGACATTTTTGTTCGCAAAAAAAGAAAAGAAAAGAAAAAAAATGCAAATTAGGTGTGTTTCCATCAAGTTAAGTGGATGAAAAAACAAAGACACCATCAGCGGAAATAGTTAGTTAGTCACGTGGGTTTAATGTTCGCCAAGTTCGGCAAATGCGTTTCCATCTCCCAATATTTGCATGAACTCTTTTTCAAAAACCACCTCGAGATTGAATGCTCTTCTATTTCCCTAATGGATTTACAAGCAACTTTGAAAATTACATTTGTTGTTGGTCCAGAGTATGTGTGACATCCTGTGGATTATAAGCAAATCCATTTCTGACCAGTTTATTCTGATGGGACCTCATAACCGACCCGCAAACCTGAAAATAAATCCTTCTGAAATACTTAATCATCGCGCACCCTGATTATTAAAAAACAATGACACAGCATTGCCTGTGCACTGATGTCCCCACAAAGATGGCAATATCCAAAATCCTTGTCACTGTGGGGACATTTTTGTTTGCAAAAAAAGACAAGAAAAAAACTAACAAAAGTGAATTAGTTGCATTTCCATCAAGTTGTTCAAGCGGATGACAGTGGTATAACCAACAGTAAATAAAAAAAACAGAAAGACACCATCAGCGGAAACAGCTAGTTAGTCACATGGGTGTAATGTTCGCCACATCAGAATTTATTCGGCAAATGCGTTTCCATCTTCAAATATTTGCATTAGCTCTTTCTCGCACAAGTTAAAAACCACCTCAAGTGAGCGTAAAAACTTTTTTAAGAACTAAAAGGTTTTATTTTCAAAATTAGGTGCTTTTTTATCACTCGTTTCTGATATGATCTCCAACCCTGTTCCTGGAGAACGACTGTCCTACAAATTTCAGCTCCAACCCCAATCAAACACACCTGAACCAACTAATCAAGGTGTTCAGGGCTACTTGATAATTACAGACAGGTGTGTTGGAGCAAGTTGGAACTGAAGTCTGCAGGACGGTACTGAAGCTATCCGGGAGCACAGTTGGAGACCCCTGGTTTAAAGGAAATGTCTGTGTTTTTGTGCATTCAATGGAAGTCTTGTCTTTCGGTGTGTATGGACACCACTGACTTTCATTGACAATTTAAACATTCTTAAATGTCTCTTCTTTTGCGTTCCACAGGAGAATGTACGTCATACAAGTTTGAAAAGACATGAAGGTGAGTAACTGGATTTTTATTTTTCGGTGAAATATAATTTTTGTTGTTAGAGTTTATATGTATTTTTGGCTATTAATCTGATTGCAAGACCTGAGAGCTCATTCAGCCACTGAGAGATGGACCTTGAAACATATGCACCTTTCATAGGAAGAGAATGGGTGAACTAAATGACTGGATCCTGCAGTCTGCAGTGGCCTGGATGTGGTATATGGTTTGATCATGTCTTACAAATAGAAGGGGGTGTTGGGTCCATTGAGACCACAAGTAAGGTTTGACGTTAAGTAGTGAGGTTTAGATAAAGGTGTTTGAGTGATTAATAGTCAATCAAAATATTTATTTTATGTTATCCATGATATATTTCATCTGCAACAACATGGTGAAATTTTATAAACATACGTTTGGTCATTAACTTTTAAATGCATCATTATGCAAACATACGAGGAGAATTCTCCACATGAAAGACCCACGACTGGCAGATCAACGTGCTACTTCATTTCTCTCCAATACAGTAGGAAATGAAATGAAATGTGGAGGATGTTAACCATGACAAGATGATTGACGGGCAGTTTAAACAGTGACAGGATGCACATAACTATGTGACAGAGTGGTCTGTTAAATATGCAATTATGACGAAGTAGTATGTCCCAAAGCTTGACTACTCTTCTGCTACACACTCAAAAATATGTACTTTTTTCTTATCAAAAAGAGTACATACTTTCAGGGTGTAGTACAAGTACAAGTAGGAATCAGTGCACAGGCAATCATGCTGTGTCATTGTTTTTTAATAATCAGGGTGCACGATGCTATTAAGTCTTTCAGAAGGATTTATTTTCAGGTTTGCAGTGTTGGAGAAGCTACTCTGAAACTGTAGCTTGACCAGCTACAAGCTACTCGTAAATTATAGTTAAGCTACATTCAAGCTACCCTTCTGGCTTGTGACTCATCAGAACGCAAAACGGAATGTAGCGTTTGGTCTACACCGCTACTTGCTGGAAAAAGTAGTTGGCTTCAGGAAAAGCTACACCGTTTTAAAAGTAGTGTCGCTACTGTAAAGCTACTGAAAAATGTAGTTAAGCTAGTAGCGTCGCTACTTGTAGCTAGCTACTCCCCAACACTGCAGGTTTGCTGGCCAGTTATAAGGTCCCATCAGAATAAACCGGGCAGAAATGGATTTGCTTATAATCCACAGGATGTCACGCATACAGAAATCTAGTCAAACCAGGGCCGTTTTAACCATTGGGCTAGGCGGGGCTGAAGCCCCGGGGTCCCGAGCAAGGAGGGGGCCCGTGATTGGCTGTGGAGTAGATTGACTGGAGCGCCGATCACCAAAGCCACCACGCCCCCCACTTATTAGCGCTGTTATTTAGTTGAGCTTTCCCGTAAATTCCATGCATTACCATTTGGAAATTGAAACGTAAAGTCTGAATTTGGTTTACCAATCAAATGCATTTATTGTATATTTGACTTTTGAATGATATGCGCATGCATCTATCAGGTGATTGCTGCCCAGTATGTCTGCATTCACCTCTCTTCACTTTGTTCTGGAGTAATCTGGAAATGGTCGCGCAAAGAACAACATTCCAATAAGTAAAAATGTCAGCAATTCTAAAAGAGAGAGGGGCTCAAAAAACGAAAAACTTCAAATACAAACAACATATAAAAACATGACTTAGTAAATTCCCCAGCTATCAGGTTATTTTACTAAAGCTGATGATGGAGTGGAAGTTGCTGGAACAGCAAGTGAACCGGGCACACGGAGCAGATAAAAACAGTGTCATCGTCCACACAGATTTTAGGTTAGTTTGATTATTAACCGGATTTATATAGTTTTTGTGTCTGAACAAACTGTATTCATTTAAGTGTTGGGAGATAATCCGGTAGAAATATATCAATCGTTGATTGAAGCACGTCATGATGTAGTCTAAGCTTATCATTTCAAGGCGTTTTAAGCAGGTTTTAAAACAAATGGTTTATACTGTTCATGGACACTACGCTGCGGGGCAGAATTCATTCTGGTAAATGCGTGCGTTAAAACGGTTTCTACCTGATACGCACGGCGTGCACCTGCTCATATTACTGACTAAACTTTCGCTCCTTGTGCTTAAACGGTCAAATACACAGTTACGTTTCAAAATGCCCGTCTTTGCGAGTATCCTCGTAAACACAGTTATAGTAATAGTTAAAGATAAAGCATGTGTTAGGCTATATGAGATCCTATATGATCAGATATATGATGAGATCTTAAAAGGATATTCACCCAAAAATGAAGATACTGTCATCATATACTTACCCTCAAATTGTCCTAAACCAATATGAATTTCTTTGTTCACCTCAACATAAAAATATATTTTGAATCATGATCATAACCAGTTTCTGGTCAACATTGACTCCCATAGTGTATTTTTTTCATACTATGGAAGTCATGGGGGCCCAGCAACTGTTGGGTTACCAGTATTGTTCCAAATATATACTTTTACATTCAACAGCAGAAGGAAACTCATACAGATTTAGAACAACAGACCTTTAATTTTTGAGTGAGCTATTCGTCTAAAGCAGCTTAATTTAGCTGCTATTAAAATGTATGTCAATAATGTAAATCAAACATTAGAAACAAAATTACTTGCTGTCTTTGACTGAATCACTTTTGTAAAATAAATAAGAATGAATGTATATTGAATTTATACAGTGAAGACTATTCAGTCTATTTGCACATTTTCTTTATACAATATATTTATTATTCAGTGCTTAAGTTTTTCAAGTAGACCGTTTTTTATGGTCTTTGTTCTGTTGTAGCCTAATTTGTGACTGTTTACTTGTCTTCAGTAAGCTTATTTTTACTTAGGCTAGTATTATTTTTTGTGATATTGAAATTGGTACCAAATTATGAAATTTCAGTGCATCAAGAATTTTGATATGGTATAAAAATCCTATTTAAAGCTGTATATATATATTTAGCTAAAGGTGCCTTTGATATTATTTTCATCTAAACCACTAGATGGCACAAACTTGGCGTAGCACTTTCCAAAACATCAGTTTTTCAAGATGCATGTGTATATTTGTCTGATCTTTGACCGCAGCAGTGCAAAGTTGATTCTGTGCTTACTTGATCTAATATTTTATATGTTTTTAAAAATGTTGTAGATTTAAGTATCAAATGAGAATCGCTAAAATTAATGCATATATTTTGAGACAAAGGTCTTCATGATTTTCAGTTTTGTTTTAGATAATTAAAGCAACAGTTTTTAAATAACGAAAGAA